AAAATTTCTTATATGAAAAGTTCATAGTTGAGGAAATAACAGGACATAAAACAACACCAGAAAAAGTTCTCTTCAAAATGAGCACAATGAAAGATAAAAAAAAGTGTCAAATCATTTATTCCTACTCAATATCTTAGACAACAGCAAATTATCTCTTCATTAAGCAGAATGTCCAAAAAATACCTGCAAGGTTAGCTTAAAAAACCTGAACAAGTTAAAACTATTGAGGACTTTACAGAAGAATTAAAACAAATTTGCAATTGACACTGAAAATATAGTGAACAAGATTTTGGCCGATGTTGAGAAACCAAATAATGTTAATGTTGGGCAGTTTGTTATTGTAGCAAGGAGTTTTGAAAATCAAAAAAATCAACCTGTTGGCCAAATAACAACAATACTAGATGATGATGATGTGCTTATCAGCCTAATCGTTATATCGGATAAAACTTTTTATTGGTCATAACCCAAACAAGAATTTATTGAAGACAACATCCACAAGATATTAAACATTCCTGAGTAAAGACTTATGGAGCATTTTGTTTTTAGCATAAATGACATGGAAGTGATGTTGAAACAAATGTTGTAGAGAACAAATTAATATTTTCTATTATAGATTTATTTGTAGATTTCATAGTGTTTTTATAGTTGTTTTTTTACTGTCAAAAAACTTTTTGAATTAAAAATATCTTCTTTTAAGCAAAACCACCCATTAAAGTCTTTTAATTTATTAAAAGTATATAGGTGTATAAATCGTTTTCAAAAAACTATAATTCAATAGCTTGTTGGCACATTGATCTTTTGCTTCTTATAGTTAGCACAAATTTTTTTAAAGCAGGTGAGGTTTAGAGAAATGATTTTTAGACTAAGATTGAGTTTTAAATCAGTTCGAATGTAATTGCAGTAAAAAAAAAGTTTTTCTTTCTTGAAAACTCATAACATACTAATACAAGCCTAGATTAAATAGAGACTTGGTGCTCAAAAGTACATATCTTGAGCCATTGAACATTCTTTGGGATAGTATTGGGTAACAGGAAAAAGTATGTTGCAGATATTTTCAAGAAAATCCAAATACTCAACTATTTCAAGTTGCTGATTTTGCCTCATTCTTATAAAAAATGACTCTTAACAAGTAAAAATTAATAAACGGCGAGTGGAGTGGTTAATAAGTTAAGTAACCACTAATGATGACATAAAATGATTATTGTTAAAAAAATTATAAAGATTTAGTAAATATATTAATCATTGTTTTTATAATATAATAACCAAAGTATATTGCAAATATTATGATCAAATAAATATAATATAACCAGAAAAACGCTTAGGAAATCAAGACAAAAACAAAAATTACAACAAACATTACAAACAAAACATAAAATTTCATTAATTACTTTTGGCAATAAAAAAACAACATGAGATTAAAAAAAATTATAATAATAAATAAAGAAATAAAGAAAAAAATAATATTTTTATTAGAATAAAATATATATATAATAAATAGCTAAAATGAAAAAAAATAAATAAATAAAACTGCATAAAAATTTATAAACTACAATTAAAAATTAAATAATGACTAAAAAATAATACAAAAAATGACTAACAAAAAATAATAAAACTATATTCGCTGAAAAAATAAAGAGAAATAAAATTCATTATTACAAGACATAACAGCATAACAGCATAGCTAAAAAATAAATTGTAAATAAATAATCCTAAGAAATATATGAAAGAAAATTAAAGAAATATATGCAAGAAAACTATGAAAAAATAAAATTATCTAGGCTTGTTGATTTTTTTTCTGTTGCTTTTTTCCAATGTTTAAATAGTTTTATTTCTTTCTTTTCCATTTTTTTTATTTATTTCATTCAACTACTTTTTTTATTTAACTTCTATTTTTATTACTTTTTTACTTTTTTCTTTCAGATATTTCTTTTTTTTTTCTTCTTTTAAAACATTTATTTATTCTTTTTTTTTATTTATTTTGTTTTTAATTGATTTATTTTTCGTTTAATTTACAATAGTTTTCTTTTCCAATTTTCTTTTTTCCTCTTTAAAAAAGTTACTTTTAACCATTAGAAAAAAGTGTCCACCATTTGCGATGCCATTGCAAAGATCATATATATATATATATATATATATATATATATATATATATATATATATATATATATATATATATATATATATATATATATATATATATATATATATATATATATATATATATATATATATATGTATGTATATATATATATATATGTATATGTATATGTAATGTATATGTATATGTAATGTATATGTATATGTAATGTATATGTATATATATGTATATGTATGAATGAATGAAATGATTGCTACCCCATCCCAAACCCTCAGTCAATGTAGCAGCACTTCACTGCGAGTCAAGCTATTTGTCAGTCGATATATGTACTGAAGCCCAGTAGCAGGCTATTTCAGTATGATGTCAGATTGCTTACCTTTGTACGCAATACTATTTGTATATAAATATCACAACGTTAACAATAATATTTACATTAATAATAACTATAATAATAAAAATGGTCATAATAACAATAAAAAATAATGGTTTTAATAAAAATAATGGTACTTATACACTCAACAATATTGTTGCATGAAGAGGATCTTAGGAAGTGAGAATGTTTGTTACATATTTGAGGGAAAAAGTTCTTGAAGGAAGTCAGAAGTTTCTCATAAAGATAATCCCATACAAATAAACAATTTAAAAAAGTAATATTGTTGTTCAGCCTTAGGATTTTTGACAATTTATACAGCAAAGAAACATTGACAAATAGGTAATTTTGAAAGTGAATAATTTTAAGGGCTTTGTTTTGAAGTGAAACTAGTTGGTTTAAGGGACTTTTTTTTTTTTACCCCAAATCTTACACGCATACCTAAGGTGCGATCCAAATATGGTAAGATAAAAACTCATAAGTGTTTCAAAATTTACGAAATGTCTGAGATCTTGGCTAACATTCCAACTGTTCGACTTAACTTAGTCTGTAAGTAAGTTTGATGATACTTAAAAGAAAGACTCTCCTCCAGTTAAACTCCAAGGTACTTCACAGTTTTTGACAAAGTTAATATTTTTCCATAAATGTTGAAAGTGCATTGTTCCTTGTTTTTTTAGTTTTTAGTTTTAAAGACAACTTATTGAACACTTTTTCTCACCTGTCCAAGTTCTTTTAAAACTCAAATAGGTAGAATTAGTGAGTTAGGAACTTTAAAAAAAAAAAGTAATGTATTTATGAATATAAAAATTTATTAATGTTTTTACAATCCAGTACATCTATTTTAATTATTTCAAAATCACAGCCTACTGTTAAGACTGGAACAATTTATCTGATATTAAATGACCATTTATCTACAAGGTACTGGAAGATTTTGTAAGTTTATACGGCAAAGAAAAAATGTTAAATTGACAAACCTATCATATGAAGACATATGTCTGGGAGCAATTGATCACTAAAATGTTTTCATATGTGAGCAATTGTGATTAAAAAGACTAAAGCTCCTTTTAAACTTTTGGTCTTAAAGAAACCAGTTATTTTCTTGATAGAGTATTGTTTGTTAAAACTGCCTTGACATTTAACAAAAAAGGTATAAACATACACTTGAATATTTCAAATAGTTTCAAATAAAGACATCAACGATAAGGGACATCAAGAGATAGTGACTTTGCTGATACTGTTAAATCAATGTCAATGGGGATAATCTAAAACTGTATGTCTTTCTAGAGTTGTTTGACTTCAAAATAGAATGGTACGGATTATTCATTTTTGTCCGAGAAATTTTTCTACTGACATCGTATATCTTACATCCGAAATTCTTTATTTCTATGACTTAATTCAGTTCTTAAATTGTTCATTTGTCTGGGATCAACAACATGGTGTCCTTCCTACTACATTTCACAACTACTTTAATAATAGAACAACATGTGGTCATAACCTAAGATCAGTCACTTATAACAACTTAACTTTTCCGCTAAAACAGACAAGTAAACACGGAATTAATTCCATTACATACTAGTGTATCCTTTCTTGGAACTCCCTTCCGAACACCCTGAAATCAGGTCTCATCCTTAGGTTCAAGAACCTGTTCTTAAAGTCACTCCATCATTTCTACCTTAAAGGTTATGCTTAACTGTACTTTTTACCTTTTTACTTTCTGCTTTTTGACTTATTTTTTTATTTTTATTATAGTTCATTATTTTATTATAATTTTATTTCTAATACTTTATTTTAAAGAATTATTTTTATTATAATTTACTTATTTTATTATAATTCTTGTTTAAGTATATTTACATATATAAATGTACATTATATTAATTATGTAATATATATATTCAAAAAGTCTGATTTCTTGGTATAATTAAATAAATTTTTATGCAATTTTACTTTTATTAGTTAATATTATGTTAACTTATCTAACTTAACTTCCTTTTTTAAACTACTTTTTTTATGTGGTTTTACTTATTACATATTATTATTGTTATTATTATTTTTTATCTTATTTAGGTCATGGCGCTTTGTTTGTGAATCACTATTTGCAACGACCTGTGTTTTTGTAACATCTGTAACACGAAATATATTGTTCCTGTTGTTGTTGTTGTTGTTATTGTCAACTATAGAGTACTTTAAATTTAATGAACTTATATGATAAAATTAGTAATAAATCTATACCATCTACATCGAATAACTATAAAATTTATAGCATATGTATTGCAACCAAACAAAGTATCTTTGATTTTAGAATTTCCAAGATTCTAGAAAATCTTGGGGAAAAAAGCTTTTGGAAAAAAATAGCTAATAATTTTTTTACTAATTTGGAAAATTATTTTTCTTTAATATGTATCTAACCTAAATGATATATCATGAAAAGATATATTAAGTAACATAATAGTAACAAAAATATACTTAAAAATTAAACATTGAAAAGTAAAAGTTAATCAGATTGATTAAAATGAAAATTTGATAATAGAATACTTTTCGTCTATCTTCGTTCCAATTTCCAATTAAACATCTTTTATTATATTTTTGTTCGATTCTCCAACCTGGTAGATTAGACATATTAATTGTTTTATTATATAGTGATTTTCATTCTATTTTTTTTAAAAGGCTTTTTTTCGCTAAGTTAATATTGTATCCATGACAATTATTTACCAATTGTCATGGATACAATTAAGGCGGGTGTGGGGTGTGTTCCCCATCAATTAATTTTTTGTTCAATTTTGACACTTTAAATCAAGTCAGTTGGCTCAGTCGAACTCTAACCACTGCGCTACGGCTGCTCACAAATGTTATGGATACAGATGTTATGGATACAGTTTACCATAACCAGAGTCTACTTATTAATTTACTGAATAAGTTATTTTAATTGTTGCTATCTATTCCAACGATATATTATATATATATATATATATATATATATATATATATATAATATATATATATATATATATATATACATATAAATAAATATATATATATATATATATATATATATATATATATATATATATATATTTTTTTTTTTTTTTTTTTTTTTTTTTCAACTCAAGAACGGACGCACTTTTTACCTCGTGGCGAAAAAAAAAAAAAAAAAAAAAAAACTTTTTATTTATTATAAATAAAGACGTATCTTTAATAAAAATTTTAACTTAATAATATGGCTGTAACACTTCCAGAAATAAAGAAACTTTTAAAAGAAATGTTCAAAGAATTTAAAAAGGAAACGGAAGAAATGTTTCAAAAGCAAGAAAAAGCAGTTCTCGATATTATTGGCGCTAACATCAAAATAATAAACGATAGATTTGAAAAAGTAGAGAAAAATGTTGATGGAAATGCAAGTTGTATAAAAAAATTAACAAAAGAATTAGAAGATATAAAGGTAAGCCTTAATTTTAATGAAGGACTTATTGACGAAAAAATAGTTACTAACAACAAATATCTAGATAAAAAAATGGAACATACAAAAATAGATAATGTATTAAAAGAAAAACAACGAAACTTAGAAGATCGATCGCGCCGAAACAATCTTAGGATTGAAGGAATTTACGAGAATGATAAAGAATCATGGGGGGATACAGAAAAAAAGTCCAAACATTCTTCACCGAAAAACTTGGACTAAAAGATGTTGAAATTGAAAGAGCTCACCGCACTGGACGAAAAAACGATGGACGACCAAGGACTATAATATTAAATCTTCAGAAATATAAAGACAAAATAAGAATATTGAAGGAATTGTATCGACTCAAAGGCACAAATACGTTCGTGAACGAAGATTTTTCTCGAGAAACCGTCGCTATTCGAAAAAAATTGTTCGCTGAAGTGAAAGAAAGGCGATTGAATGGTGAAAGTGTTACGGTAAGGTATGACAAAATTGTTTATATTAAAACTTCTTTTAAAAACAATTTTAACGAATAATTTTATGTGCATTCCTAAAAAGAAATCTTAAATAAAATATATTAATCATGGCTACAAATGAAAACTTTGAATCTCGTGTTTTTAAAATTCAAAAAACAAATTACTCTACGTTAAATGAAAATTTAGACTCTGATTACAATATTTATCACAATAAATTTTCAGATTGTTCATATTACTTTCCTAGCCAACTAGAAGGGTTTCTTTTTAAGAATGAGAATGAAAGAAATAATAATCAAATGTTAATTCTCCACCTCAATATAAGAAGCTTAAATAGCAATTTTGAAAAACTTTTAGACTTATTAGAAGAAACTAAACATGTTTTTAATATAATTTGTTTAACAGAAACTTGGATTTCTTTAGAAGACCTAAATAATTTTCATCTACCTCATTTTAATACATTTTTAATGGAAAGGAAAACAAATAAGCGCGGTGGTGGAGTTTTAATTTATGTTCACGAAAATTTTGAGCATTGTTTTAGGCATGATTTAAGCGTTTCTGACTGCGATAAAGAAATTGCAACTATAGAAATTACTAACTGCAACAAAAAAAAATTTTTTCTAAGCTGTTGTTATCGGCCACCTGATGGCGTAAGCGAAAACTTTAGCATGTTTTTACAACAAATTATTAAAAAAGGTACCGTTGAAAAAAAACAAAATTTTATAATTGGAGATTTAAACATGAATTGTTTTCTTTATAATGATAACCTTAAAGTTAAAAATTTTTATGATGAAATTTTTGAAACGGGTTCAGTATCTTTAATAAACAAACCTACAAGAGTAACGACAAATTCAGCAACTCTAATAGATAATATAATAACTTCAGATATTTTCAACAATGATTTAAAAGTAGGTATTTTGCGAACCGATATATCAGATCATTTCCCTATATTCCTAAAATTAGATAATACAAACTCTGAAAAAACTTTAACCGCACAAAGAGTAATTAGAAAACGCATTTATAATGAGGCTAACCTTAATTTATTCAAAAATCAACTTTCATTACTACACTGGAATAACATAAATTTTAATGATAATGCTAACAATATCTATGAGTCTTTTTTCAAAACATTTTTTTCTGTATACGATGCTAACTTCCCAATCATTGAAAATAAAATAACTACTAAGAGCTTAAATACACCCTGGATCACTAAGGGCTTTAAAAAATCGTCCAAAATTAAGCAAAAACTATATATAAATTTTTTGAAAACAAAAACACCTAAAAACGAAAAAATTTACAAGGACTACAAAAACCTATTTGAAAAAATTCGCAAAAATCTAAAAAAAAATTATTACTCCCAATTACTCAATACATTTAAAAATGACACAAAACGCACATGGCAAATAATGAATGAAATTATTGGAAAACAAAAATCATGCTCAGGTTTTCTGCCACAAATGGTTAGAGTCGATAACAAAAGTTTATACGAACCAAGAACTATAGCTCAAGAATTTAACAAATTTTTTATCGATATAGGTCCAACACTTTCTAAAAAAATCCCAAACACCAAATCTTTATTTACTGATTTTCTAGTACCCATTGATAATTGCATTGGTTCAGTTGAGTTGTCTTCTGAATTGTTGTTTGAAGAGTTTGAAAGAGCCTTTAAATCTTTAAAAAAAAAATAAAGCAATTGGAGCAGATCAAATAAATGGAAACGTTATTATAGATTGTTTTGAACAGCTAAAAGTTGTTCTTTTTAAAGTTTTTAAAGCTTCTATCCATCAAGGTGTTTTCCCCGAACTGTTAAAAATTGCAAAAATTATTCCTATTTTTAAAGAAGGGGACAAATCAATTATAAGTAATTATCGCCCTATTTCTGTTCTTTCCACCTTTTCAAAAATTTTAGAAAGAATTATATATAACAGAGTATACAAATATTTTCATGTTAATAAATTACTTAACATTAATCAATTCGGTTTTAAAAAGGATAGCTCAACTGAACATGCAATTATCCAATTTGTACGGGAAATCTCAAAATCATTTGAAAAATCACAATATACTCTAGGACTTTTTATTGATCTATCAAAAGCTTTTGATACGGTTGACCACCAAATTCTAATCCATAAACTTAAACACTATGGAATAAAAAATAAAGTTTTAAAATGGTTTGAAAGCTATTTGTCAAATCGTAAACAATTTGTTCCGAGTAATGACGGTTATCACACCAATTGTCTTTCTATAACATGTGGAGTCCCACAAGGCTCAATTCTTGGTCCACTCCTTTTCCTAATTTATATTAATGATTTAAATAAAGCCTCTAAACTAACAAGTATTATGTTTGCAGATGATACTAGCTTATTTCTTTCTAACAGTGATATCTTTGAACTTTTTAAAACAATGAACAAAGAGCTTATACATGTATCGAGTTGGTTTAAATGTAATAAGTTAACTCTAAATTCTAATAAAACAAAGTGGACCTTATTCCATTCGCTTTCCAAAAAACGATATTTGCCATTAAACTTACCTAAAATTTTTATTGATCAAAATGAAATAAAAAGGGATTCCGTAACAAAATTTTTAGGTGTTTACCTTGATGAAAACATCACTTAGAATCATCATATCGACTACATAAGCACTAAAATTTCAAAAAACATAGGAGTTTTATATAAAGCACGAATCTACCTCAATAAGAAAATTTTAATCAAACTTTATTATTCATTTATACACAGTTATTTAAATTATGCTAATATCGCCTGGGGTAGTACAGAAAAAAGTAAGTTGCAACGTCTTTATCGCCGTCAGAAACATGCTATCCGTTTAATCTGCTTTGCAAATTGCTTTTCTCACGCAAAACATTATTTTATTGAAATGAGAATTTTAAATATATACGAGCTTAATATATATAATGTTTTATGCTTTGTATACATGTGGAAAAATGACTTGTCTCAATCTGTCTTCAAAGATATTTTTACTCCGAAACCCATCAACAAATACAATTTGAGAAATACTGATTTTTTAAATGAACCTTTCTGTCAAACGAACTTTAATCAATTTTGTATTGTCTATCGGGCACCACACCTTTGGAATAAAATTGTTTTGCCCAATTTTGATTTCGAACTATCCATTACTTTTCGTTTTTTTAAAAGTAAATTAAAAACCCTAATTTTTTCATTAGAAGATGTATTATGTTATTATTAATAATATAAATTAATAACTTTGCCTTTTCTTATTTATATTTGTAAAAAGTTTATTCTTACTTATTTTGCTGATTTTATATTCTTTACTTCACGTATACGTTTATTTAAAATATTAGTGAGTAGATCCGCGTGATCTCTCTTTGGATTATAAAATATATATTTGGATTATATATATATGAAATTTGTAAAAATTTGATACTGTTAGTGCTTGTTTGAACTTATTTAAGGTTCTGACGACAAGATCCTTTGATCTTCTTTCAGATACCTTATTTTATATTTGTGAAAGTTTATTATTATCATCATTATTTTTTTTATTTTTTTTTTTTTTGGCAATATATAGTTGTAATACGACCAACAAATGTAAAATTAAAAAAAAAAAAAAAAAAAAAAAAAATGATGATAATAATAAACTTTCACAAATATAAAATAAGGTATCTGAAAGAAGATCAAAGGATCTTGTCGTCAGAACCTTAAATAAGTTCAAACAAGCATTAACAGTATCAAATTTTTACAAATTTCATATATATATAATCCAAATATATATTTTATAATCCAAAGAGAGATCACGCGGATCTACTCAC